CGTATGCTCAGGTTTTATCACGTATCTTGGCCTTGGCATTAGTGTTAATCGGTCCTTCCTTTTCAGAATCCAAACTGACTGAAGCTACATTGACACTACAGAAAGCAGCCGCTGGACTCCCATTTTAAATCAGAGATTTTTGAAGGACGTCCCGAAGGACAACTGATTCGCTAGTGAAAGGAATCGATTCAGATTTATATGTCGACTGTTTACTGGTAATCTAGTGTTTCACTTTCTTCATTTTTATTTGTATGTACTTTTAAAAACTATTATTAACCTAACTCCCTTTTGAACAGGAAAAATTCAAGCAAGATTTGTCTCATAAAAGTGGCTACACTAAGATACATGAGAGTCCCTGGTTTCTGCTTCAAAAGAACAATCCATGTTTACTGAAGTCCAGACTAGAAAACAACTGGAGTCATACTTGCAAGAGAAAAGTGGAGGGAAGAAAGTTCTTCTACAACAATTAATTCTTGAAGAGAAGGTTGTCCTGAGCCACGGCATTAAAGTGAAGGTTCCGTCTAAATATGGCTACTCAGTTGCATTCCCTTCTCAACTGGAACAAGTTTTAAACTGCAAAGACATTATGGAATGTGTTGACAACCCACGGCCTCAGCAAGATAAAGAAATGTGTGCTGTAACTCACCACAGTCCTAAACTATCATGATTATTGTTAAAATGTTAAGCCTCGTCTTTTTAAGCCAAATATACCAGGTTCTTTATTGTTGGAATGAATTGAAAGAGGGAGACTGCTTTTGGATACCTCAAAATGTATAGTCAAGTGTTTGCTAATACAACTAAGAGCATGGCTGTGCTTCCATAATTAAGCTGCCTTCAGGATCACCAGTAATAACATCATCATAGTCTTCATCTTCGGCAAATATATCAGGATTAGGAATTCCGTATTGGTGATCTGGCTCGTGTAGATCTTCTAGGCTGAGCAAGGGTCTCCCCACTTATCAGGTCTTTAGAGAGATCTACAAACCAAAGAAAATATAATCAGTGTCTTTATCCCAGTATATGATAAGTTGTAATATTGTTATGTTGCTGCTAAAATAATTACCTGTCTCTTCCTTCTTTCCAGATTTTTTGGAAGATTTAGGAGTTTCTAGCTGACTAGCTGGGGCAGTAAAATACATCTCCATTCCTTTTCGGCTAGATTAGGTTGGTTCAGACGTTCAGACTCATTTGCCGATACAGGAGGTAGGGATGAATGGTACTCTTGATTTTTAGAACCAGATAGATATATCTTTAGTAACATCTATGAATCAAGGAACAAATTCAAAATCAGTACTCAAATCTTAGCGAATAATTAGTTTTTAAGAGTTGTTTATATTAGTGTTAAAAATAATTAGCCCTCTTTTTCTTTGTTCCAGGCAATTTGGAAGAGATAGACGTCTCTATCTGACTAGCTGGAGCTGATTCAGGCTTAATTTCTCTTCGACTAGAAGGGTGGTTCAGACTCATTTCTCAATACGGAAGGTAGAGATGCATGGTGTTGTTGAACTTCAGAAAGAACTTTCTTATTAAATATCATTCTCTCTGCATCACAACGCTTTTTCTCTTGTCATGTTTTTAAGGCTGTCACTTTTGTACCTGCAAACAAAACAAAGGAGTTGAGAAAGTACTTCAATAAATTATGTACTGAACGTGACAATTTAAAAAAATTCTTACTCGTCCCAGATGACATCTACTCTTGTTACGCCAGCAGATTCGTCTATTAAACATGGCAGAAACACCATTTCCCGGTAATCGCTAAAGTAGACACATAGCTCTGCCATGAGCTTGTAGGTAAGGACTGGCTCATTAAAAATCTTCTGCTGAACCACTGGACCTCTATTAATTTATTGCTCGCTGTGTGAGAATTGTTTGGAGCCGGTCATATGAAATGCTAGTCCCTTGTCGAAAAGCAGTTTCAACCAATTCCATATTTCTTGTCTCTCCATACAATTTAGCGGGGGTATACACAGCCGCAGACGTCTCCTTGGCCACGTCGTGTCGACAAGCCTTGCCACTTTGCTTTTTCCGAGCGTGGAAGAAAAGAAGTTGGGCAAGCGTCAATGTCACTGAATCGGCCTCTCTCGTCTCTTCACCATCGACGATCAATGTGACAATTTCTTGTAATGAATTGGGCACATAATTTTGCACGTTTTCTGTTGACAGTTTATTCCAGGCCACTCTCTTGTGAGCAAATATATCCTCTCTAATTTTTTTTTGCAGCCAGCTTGATGTGATCTTGGTCCGGACGAGCGCATGTAGTACGCACAACTTCGTCGACGTCTTTCTTGAACCTCACCAGCGCTTTGTCCCGGACTGCCTGACACCTCCAGTTGTGGACAGACTTTTTTTTTTAGTCTGCTGGAATGAGGTGTGGTTAAAATGCCTTTCTTTTCCAGGTTTGTTGAATAAATCTCTGACAGCTGAGTCATGGAAAAGACTGGCAAGGGACTATTTGTCACCATTTCTGTTCTCTTGTTGGTCAAGTGATTCACAACAAGCTCCAAACTTTCCTGACGGGCAAGTGCAATTAGACTTTCTGCAAAGGCATCCTTCCGTTTGTAACAGTAGGCCACGCACCTTTCACAGTTATGTAACCTTGTAAGCGGACTAAAAATTTAGTGTCTCCAAGTGCCGTTGCACGTTCCCTTCAACTCCCCTGCCTCTTCAATTTTCTGCAGAGCATTTGCTTTGGTGCCTTTCTTGTAACAGCAAATGCACGCTACTGTTGGACATGAAGTGGCTGAGCTAACAGTAGCACGCGTGATGGGCAACGGTGGCGAGTTCTCATAGTTTGCTATTTTCTGCGCCCTCTTCTGAGCCTTCTTAACTTTTACCCGCAGCCGCTCCAATCGACTATTCGAACACTTCAGAAAGCAGCTGGTGTGCCACTTAGCACTTTTGTCTCGAAGTGTTTGCGAAATACCACAACCAGCGTCGAGTTCGCTGAAGGGGGGTGGGGGCGTACCAGAAGGGTGGGGAAGAAGAGGGAGGAGTGTCCTGATGCTCTCGGCATGCAGACATTCGAACTCAATGGGCCCACAAACCCCCGAGAACCAGGAGGAGTAGTAGGAGGGAGGGAGAGAAGAGAAGGGAGGAGTGGTGGGGGATGCCGTAGACGCATCCGACACAACACTGGTGGTGGTAGGGAAGGCCCGGACTCAGCCCTGGTCCCGAAAACTTGGCTGTCTAGAAAACCGTTAAGCCATTCAAATAATGTGTAACGGTTACAAGGTAGATGTACGCCAGACCACGTCTCGCGTAACAGGCTTCGCGATATCTCACGAAACACTGTTATGCTGCGACGCGCCTGGCATACATCTACCTTGGCCTGCGGCGCTGACACCCGAGTCGGGTAGAGCAAAGATGTACTCAAAGATTCGGGCCTCCGGCCCGTCAACCCCGTCACTTAGACTAAGCATGCATGGTTGTACATTTTCTCGCTTATTTTCGTCAAAAATACCCTCTAGCGTCTAAATGGTTGGAGCTAGAGCAAAACGGACAAAATATTCGCCCATGGGGCTCTACTTTGATGAGTTACCCCCTAGGAAACCAGAAAAAAATATTTTTAAAAACAGTCATTTTTGGGACCTGTGGTTTTTGATTTTTTAAAAATCCAATTTTTGAGCTAGAATGCTCATCTTCGAACTTGATCTGTCTTTTTATGACACAAAACTACCCTGAAAATCCCAGGTCGCTCACTCAATTCGTTCTCGAGTTATCGTGCGGACAGACAGACAGACAGACAGACAGACACACACACACAGACAGACAGACAGAAAAAGTTTTTTCCGACCAGACGGAGTAATAGGCTTCGCTAATCGCTCAGCCAAAAAACAGATTCAAAACGGGTAAATAGAAAGGCGTGAAAGCTACGAGGGCACTGGACTGGACATCTGATGACCCACTATACTTCGGTTGAAATGGATACGCGTTAAAATATTCATCGGTTACCTCGCTATCTCCTCCATTCGTTGAAAGCTGTGCAGCCAACACTCTGTAGGAGAACAGTTATGTGTATAATTTAATGATGCCCTTCTGATACATCTTCATAAACATAAGCTTATGGCCTCTGCGTAAGACTTTCTCAAAACTTACTCAATAGCATTTGTTTCTCCTTACTGCTATTTTTTTGCTAGCAGCCTTGGTCTTGTGTTTTTCACATGATTTCTTCTGCCTCGCAGAGATCGACTTAGACACAGAATAATTTTCCTCTAGATAAACAAAAAGAAAAGTAGGACTGCTGTCTTTAAATGTCAAATATATTTCAAAAATGGCTTTTTCAGTACTCTCACCTGTAATGTGTTGGAATCTTGTACATTTTTATACCAAAGGCGTTGAGTCACTTGCCAGGACAACACCGTGACTACACCCCACCCTTCTGCTTTGCTTAAGAATTAAGAAAAAAGAACCCGCGCAGATTGTATATTGTAGATTGTTTGTCAAACAGTCTTAAAACTTGACTTTCTGCAATTGTTATCAGTATATCCACCTCCACCTCCTAACTGGTTAGAGATACGGTAAATCGGAGGGTAGAAACAGACTCAGAATGTGCTGTTTTGGGGGAGACTACTTCCTCTGACATTTTACGATGGGACACCTCCTTGTACGTCTCCATGTGCAACGTGGTCATTTTCACCGTATTTTCGTCAAAAAAAAAACACTCCAGCGCCCAAACGGTGCAAGATAGAGGCAAACGGACGAAATTTTAGGCCGGAGGTTTCTACTTTCACGAGTGACCCCTTAGAGGACCATATAAAAAAATGATTTTCTACTTCTTGAACCAACCCCTATTTCTTTGTTACCCAATTTCCCCCCCTTAGGGGTGGTTGCCAGGATTTGCACCAGGCCTAAGATACCCTGAAATTTGCAGATCTCTAGCTCATCTCCTTCCTCTTACACGGACGACGGACGTACAGACAGACGGACGGACACGACAGCGGTTGCATAAGCCCACTTTGATGCCTTGCTTCACGGAGGCGAAGAACAACTTGCCCCCCGCAATGCACGCCTTCGGGGAGTACTTTGAAACAACGTACGTCAAGGGCCGAGTCCTGCGAGGCCGACGGAGGGCAGCCCCGCCGCGGTACACCCCCGCCCTCTGGAACCAGTACCTCGCCGCCTTGAACAACGAGCCTCGCACGAACAACGCGACTGAAGCGTGGCACAACAGATTCCAGGTCAGTACCGATGCGGGACACGCTGGACTCAGTCCCAAAGGTCCTGGAGCTGAGTCGGTTTCTTCCCCAGACAGTGGTGGGGAAGAGCCACCCCACGCTCTTCCACCTGATCAAGGAGTTCAAGAAGGAGGAGGCGGACTCGACGGTCATGATGGCGGAGCTGGACGCAGGGAAGAAGATCCGGCAGCCCCAGCGCGCCAAGTACCAGCGCATCAACCAGCGACTGCAGCGCCTGGCCGAGTCCTATGGGCAGTTCAAGGAGGAGGGCCGAGTCCTGGAGTATCTCCGCGCCTGCGGCCACAATGTTGGCCACTAAATTCTGGTAACAGGTACTACCACTCCCCCCCAAATACTAAATTCATAGTGGGGACGAAATGTTACTGAGGACAAAATAAATCGGGGACGAATTTTTTGAGGACATTTTATCCGAGGACAGATTAACTGGGGACGAATTGTCGCGGGGACATATTTTCAAGGGACGAGTATTCGTGTCACCGTGCTACAAAACCCCTGTATGCAGGCAACACACAGTGCGTCCCCCCCCCCCCACTGTCGCCCCCTCCTTATACCGCGCCTGTTAGTGAAAGATTTGTGTAAGCTACTGCACCTAATGAAGAGGTTAAAACAATTTCTGTACAGCGAAGAAGAGAACTGATAGAAGAAAATACGTTGATAGTCAACTCTTTCTTCTATGAAAGATCAAAATCTTTCATTGAAATGGTGAATAGTTTAGTCTTAATTGTAACAGTGCTGTATATGTTTTAAACTACTGATACTGATATGACACATAATTTGCATAACAGGTTCTTATACCAAAGTTTAAAATTAAGGATTACTGGTTTCGAATTAAATACCAGCATAGGTAAAGTTTTAATTCACGAATAACATTGTATTGAGACAAGCTTTCTGCTTTTGACATAAGCTTAACATGTTTTCTTTTTCTTCAAAAAGGGGAAGTCCACAATGGCCTCTTATACATAAATGGTGCTCCAGGTGTGACAAAAAATAACACGGCTACTACAGAGGAAAAGAAAGAGATTGCCGCATACTTCCATGAACTTATCAGCACGTTCCATCACAATACCAACGAACCACCAGCTCCTGTTCATCCTTGTCGAATAAGGGCCTCTAATATTTCAAATGCCGATGAAGATTTGGCACAGCTGTTGAACAAAGCACAACACACCAAATGTATGGATAGTTATTGCCTTCGCCTAAACAAAAAGACCAAGAAAAAAAGGACACTGTAAAAAATGTCGGATTTTTGCCATGCAAGTGTGTGGGAAGATTCCCAAACGCGTGTGGGTGTGGGACACAATATTTCCTACACATTTGTAGGATTTTTCCTATACGCGTAATAGTGTGCCGGGATAAACCGATACTTATGTGAAAAATCCCACACTTCTGTAGCAAAATGTCTAAAAGTGTTTAGAAAGAATTTTAAGTGTGGGAATTTTCCTGTTTTTATCTTGAAAATTTCCGACAACCCAATAGTAAAGTTACAGTTCATGATTTGTGGACACTTCAGTCCTGCTGCTTAGGTATAACTATTTAGTAGTCTCGTGGTCCTGCTGCTCTCAAAGGAATGATGTTGCGTCGAGAGTGCTTCTCAAGAGAAATATATGAAAATATTTGGGCACGGAGTGAACCATAATTCCTGAAATTAAAACATGCATTTAGAAATCCATTACGCAAAGAGCAGGTGGCCGCTGCCCGCACCTGGCCTTTAAGAATGGCCGGGTGTGGCCGGCCGCGCTGCTCTGGGATGACCCAGGGACACTACGGCCTCTCCCAACAAGTCCCCGAGGTCTTCACCAGGAATCACATTTCGAAAAGAGTTGGTCCTCTCAAAGCAAGACCCGTTTACGCTGTAGATGATCTGTTCCTTACTATTGAGACAATGCTCACTTTTCCCCTTCTAGTACAAGCGCGTTCACTAAAGTGCGCGAAACGTTCAGAGGATCGTACGCCGAAATCAATAGAATCGCTCAAGGCTATAGATCCTACATGACCACAGATTGGTCATCGTTTGATCAGCTAATGCCACACACAACTTTCACCTTCTACCAGGACTTTTTATCATCCCTGCTCGTCGTAAACTCTGGTTATCAACCAACCCATGAGTTTCCTCAGCACCCTCATCTGACTACTGAAATATTCAGTCAAACGATGGCAAATCTGCTCTCATTCTTGAACCTACGGTTCAATAATTTAGTTTGTGTTTGTTTCCGCATCGGGACATGGCTATAAGAGTCGTTTTGCTGGTATGCCCTCTTGGTTATTAGGGTACCTCGAAAAACACTTTTTTTCCGAATCTGAAATCGGCTCGGGTGGATAAATGTTGTATCCAGTAACACTATAAACGGTGTGAAATATTGTTTCGATCGGATAAAATCTTCAGCCCCCACAGCGGCTTCAATGTTTAGCATAGAGCTCTTATGGGAAAAATGCGTAAAAAACTGAAATTTTCAATTGGAGGGTTCCTGTCGTATAATTCGCTGTTTTCATTTTTAGCCCGCCCTTCTGCCTTCTGCCCGACCATCGCCGCCGGCAGGCCAAGCAGGCCTGGCCCCTGCCGAACGGAGTTGCCGGCGCAGCGAAATGCAGCTGGCAACTCCGTTTGGCGGAAGTGCGGGCCTGCTTGTTAGAAATGCAATCTACGCGTAAAAACGCTTTCGGAGATGTGCCACTTGCCATGTCAGCACCAGTCCTTTATGACTAAGGCGCTGTCAAAAAAGCCGATTTTGCGTCAAAATTGCAATTTTTGGTCATACAAGCTGGATACATATGAAATGAAATACCACAAGTGGCACATCTCCAGAATCGTTTTTACGCGTGGATTTCATTTCTACTAATTAAAACCGCGCAATTTTCAACAGGAACCCTCATATAAACAATTTCAGTTTTGGGTCTTTTTTTCCTATAAGAGCTCCATGCTAAACTTTGAGGCCGCTGTGGAGGCTGAAGATTTTATCTGATCGAAATAATATTTCACACCGTTAATAGTGTTACTGGATAGAACATTTATCCACCCGAGCCGATATCAGATTCGAAAAAAAGTGTTTTTCGAGGTACCCTATTGGTTATATAACACCCAGTATTTAAATTCATACTGTAATCTATTCATCATGCTTCACGCAATGATTGAATACGGTTTCTCAGACCGTGAAATTGAATCATTTAGATTCTTCATCTTCATCTGACGATAGTTCCATCTTTACCTAATTGGAAATCCCCATACTTGAAGATTTTCTTAGATTCCGTGAAAGTTTTAAGCCGCTACTATATGAGAATTTATCTAAAAGCACCACCACATCAGATCGTAGCAAGATCCAAACAGTAAGTTATCAGTGCAACCTTGGTTACCCCACCCGTGACCTGGAATAGCTGACAGCCCAGCTCCTCTTCCCTGAACGTGGATTGGATTTGCGATACATGTCATACAGAGCCATCGGACTCGCCTAAGCCGCCTGTGCTTCTGATGCGCAGTTCCACTGACTGTGCCGTGACGTCTACATCACATTCCTTCCTGATTCCGCCCCTCCTAATGAAGACCTCAAGGAGAAAATGGCCAAATTCATTCCTGGCCAACACAATCTTAAAAAGCGATTGTGAATTTGTTAACCATCCAACGAAATTCCTAACAATGCTAGAAGTCCTCGCCTAAGTACAATTAGGGCATGGACCATTCAAGTATACACCCAAATGGGATGTAAACCATTTTAGCGATGCCCCAGACTATATGTACCCCAGAGATGAGCGTTGTCCGTATTTACGATCGACCGCCGAGACAGCGCCGCGGTCGCCGCCCGCTTGCCAGTGACTGGCTACAGCAGTCGGTCTTGTCGTGTTGGAGACCGGCGGGGCCCGGGGTACCGGGCCGACCGCCGGTCAGCGAGACCGCCTAGGCGGCCAGGCTGACCGCCCGGCCTGGACCCTGCAGCAGCAGAAAAACGAGGCAGCTTGTTATGTCCGGCAGGCGGCGGTGGCTTGGTGGCCGGCCGGTCACAGAGCGACCGCGCGGCGAGGTCAGGCCGCCCAGCCGATTGACGTTACAGGCACCTGCCGAATGCAGGCGGCTTCCGCCGGAGCCCTCTCGCTCGCACACCGAGCGTGAGCCAGGCGGTCAGTTGCAGACCGCCTGCACCCAGAGAAAGCTTTCTTTGATCCAAAGAATAAGTTGTCTTTGATTTGTAGTGTTGAATTATGAGATTGATTCTAAGGAATTTCGTCGAACCTGACATCCGCATTAGAATGAGACGCGTATAGCACAAACCCATCGTTCGTTTAAACCAACGCCGCCTGTGGCTTTGGCACCCTACATCTATCTCTCTCGCACTCGCTCTATCGTGCGTCGACAGAGCTTCGTGCTCTCGCCGCTGGACCGACTGACGCAGCCTCCCCACCCCGCTCCCGTTGCCCCGCCTCTGCCTGCCTGGCTACTTTCGGTCGCCTCCCCTCCCCCTCCGCGCTGACCTCGCCACAGTCAGCCGTCGGCAGGTGCGTCGGTACGGTCGCCTCGCTCGCTCAGCCCAGTGCTTCTGTTTCTACGCGTGTGTTGTGAAGTTGTGAAAATGGACTTGAAGACGGTTTTGGAGAGTTTCGGCCATCCATAGCTCATCGCACCATTTGAAAGTAAGTGGCAAAAGTGTTTTGATACCTCACTCTGTTTGTTCTGGGTTGTCTTGGTTTCGCAATGTGCAGTGTTCCTATGCTCGGTCACTGTGTCGAGAAAAGGGAAACACATAGCAAAACAAAATATATATCACGTTTTCCTGAGTGTGCTTGAGGCACCTCGTCCAGCCACGCCGGCCAAGTGGGGGTTAGAGGGGGGAGGGTGGCAGTGTTGTTGATATTGTTCGGCCCCGTCCCACGCCGTCACAGTGGAGGTAAAGGAGAAGGGAGTGGGAGATGATAGAGCAGCGTTGCTTATCAGCTTCTGCTCCCGCACCGCCGCCCCGCGCTGCCCCGCGCCGCCCCGCGCTGCGCGGCCCCGCGCCGCCCTGCTTTGCCCTGCTTTGCCCTGCTTTGCCCTGCTTTGCCCTGCTTTGCCCTGTACCACCCCGCCCCGCGCCGCCCTGCGACACCGTGCTTCAATGGGAGTCATGCGGAGTCCGCCTGCCTACCGTGCTGTCTAGAAGGGGGTGAGGGGGCAGGGGTCACTGCCGTTTTCTGTTGTCAAATTGTAGGTTTTCTTACAGTGTGCCAAAATCCCCGTCGAATTGGGTATTAGTCTAGAGCGCTGAGCGGAAGTAGAAGAACAAAAACGGAAGATGGAAAGGCGCCCGCACTCCTCCCCGCCTGCCCTCCACTTCTCCCCGGG